GGGGGAAACAAAACGGTTATGAAGATACAAAGAAAAAGTGATGCTTTTACCCCTCATATTTCTGTAATATTACCGTATACACGTGTCATCTCCCTTTGAAACTTATGGCGCCATAACACAAGTTTCAATATCAAGAAGAACACACAACTTTGACGCTCTTTATTGGGCCCATTATATATTCAATCGAGGCCCACCATCACATGACGGCAAAGAGAGAACCAAACATAGAAGCAGAAGCAACAAATTATCGTGTGTTGTGTTTCTCCAACTCTTACGAATATCCAGAGTAAATGTAACTTTCAATAATCTGATATAACTTAGTTGCAGAATGGCAATCATTTGAAATGATTCATTTCATAAATCTTGGCATTTGCGTTGTTGTTGATTAGACAGTACTCTATAGCCAATCTCTCACTATCCAACTCCAGTTCAGCTTCTTTCTCTTCTTCAATCCGCAGCAGAATCCGTCGAGTATCTGGGATGTGTCCTGCTTCTCTCCCATCTCCTTTAACTTTGTATAGATCTCCTGTGATTGTGGATGTGACGCATGTCTCCTCCAATAAATCTGTGAATCACACCCTTTTCCGCTCTATCAAACTCCATCCAAGATCCATTCTTGAGACCTTTCGTCTTCATCGTCTCTCTCACTTCCGAAACTTTCTCCCATTTTCCTACAGCTGCATACAAATTCGATAGAGGAACATGGCACTCTGGAGCCAAGTCTATCAACTGATGAGCTGCGTATTCACCAATCTCTATATCTACATAGTTCTTCGCACCGCTTAATAGGCTTACTTACTTTGTCTGGTCTTAGTGGTATTTTCTCCATAATACTTTTGGCCTCTCGAAGATGCCCCGTCCTGCATTACACGGCAAGTAGGCAACCATAATGCTCAATCTTACGCTCAGCTCCATACTCTTTTACCATCAAATCGCTTCCTCTACATATCCAGCGAGACTACAAGCGTTCAACAACCCAACAAAGGTCATGCCATTACCACTCTCTTGCATCTGCTTGATTGAATAGACCAAACCATCCCATGTATTTTTTCCTATGTATTGATCTGAAAACAAACAAAGTGTTAGAATATGCAGAATGTTTAAGAGAGTTTA